ACAAAAGCGATAATAATATCGATAGCAAAATCGATGAAAACATCGATAAAAAATCGATGAAAATATCGATATCAAAATTGATAATAATATCGATAACAAAATCGATAACTTAATCGATTACAAAATCGGTTACAAAGTCTGTCAAAAAAATCTACCAGAAAAACGATAACAAAGTCGATTACAAAATCGATTAAAAAGTCGACAACAAAATCGATAAAAATATCGACATCAAAAGCGATAACCACATCGATAGAAAAATCGATAAAATATCGATAATGAAACCGATGCAAATATCGATAACAATCGATAAAATTATCGGCAACAAAACCGATAAAAATATTGATGACCAAACCGATAAAAATATCGACAACAAAACTGATAAAAATATCGATAACAAAATCGATAAAAATATCTATAACAAAATCGATAAATAATCGATAACAACGTCGATAACAAAATCAATCAAAATATGGATAACCAAAATCGATAAAAAATATCGATCATTATATCGATAAGTTCCGAAAATATCGGTAGCAAAATCAGTACAATATCGATAAAAATTTCAATAACAAAATCGATAAAAATATCGATCACAAAACCGACAAAATGTCGATTATTATATCGATAAGTCCCGAGAATCCCGAAAATCTCTAAAATCCCGAAATAGTTCCCAGATTGCGTCTCTGTGCCTCTATCTATATCCTTTTCTCTACAACTACCTTTATTTTAATCTTTCTTCCTCTATCTTCATTTTTACTTTTAACGGTATTCTCATCCTCATATTTTTCTTTATATTTGTCTTTGTTTTTAGTTTTATGTTTATCATATTCTTCATATATATATTCCCCTTCACCTTTGCCCTTATATAAGTAAAGTGTTTAAATTTACCTTGGTCTTTATTTTTGCCTTTATCTTTGCGCAACTTTGTTTTTGTTTTTATTTTTACCTTTGCCTTTATCCTTTTCTTTATCTATGTACGTACTCACCTTTACTTTTATTCTTTGATTGGTCTTTTTCTAAATGTTGTTTCACCTCAAAAAGTTTTTGCGTATGACAAATTTCCTTAAGGCAGTACGCAGTTCTTAAGAAATTTGCTACGCTTTCTACTACGGTTTTCTAAAGTGAAAAAAGAGCACAAGGCAACCCAGGTTTGCAACAGAAATATATGCCCGTTCCATTATTTCTTGAGGAAAGAGTGAGGCAACAGACTGTGAGGTATAAAAAATGTCAAAATCACTAAAATGTCACTATCTGTCTCGCTCGCTCATGGCAAACATGTCCACTATCCATCTCTCTCATCATTTTGCCGTAAAATTAAGAACCTACCAAGAGCTTGTGCGAATAAAAAACATTTGAACTGAGTAAAATGGGTTAGCAAAAAACGGGTTACTTGAGGTTTTGCTTTTTTTACTCGTTTTTTTTTAGTATGAAACTAAAGGGCTAACTATAATATGAATAAGCTGCCGTAACTGACTGTCAGAAAATGAACGAAAAGTCTGTCAAATGCATAAGCAACGTAGTGTAGACTTTTAGGTGGCTATATTTTACTTACATGAGTTCAGTGTTGCCACATTTAATTAGATATAACAATAGCCACTATCAAGCAGTTTGTTGTAGATCACACAATTATAGTAACCTAGAAACGCCGAAGAACTATTCGCCTTGCGAAACTTTCAGGATAACCAGGTGTTTCTGTAAAAGGAAACGCTTACGGCCCACTTCCTAAAGTGGAACCAGAACTTCTTTTGACCTGTGTTACATGTAGGACTGAATCGAAAAAATTACCATGTTAAAAAATAAGTTACAAAATTACCAAATATGATAAATAAAAAAATTACCAATTTCGGTAAAAAAAAATGCAATGCGGCAACACTGCATGTGTTACATATGTACATACATACGTACGAGGACAAACAGCTGATTCCGTACGGAAGGTGCGATCAGTTTCGCTCTTTCCTTAAGCAAATGACGTTTGGCGAAACTTGACGAAACTTGATGTTAAGCACATTATAGTTTCCGAATAGGATTTATGTGTATTCGCACGTTTGCATACGCTTGCTTATTCATATTATAGTTAGCCCTTAACAAGTATTGTACCATTTTACAATCCTGATTAAATGCGCGAACTTTTAATGGCACTTGCCAAGGCACTTTAGTACATTTTTTTAAAGGAGGGTGTTTCAAAGTCGACAAATTATAAAAATTTTAAATTCATAGTTTAACAAATAGTCTTAATTGTGTCATTATTTTTGACTTAGGTCCTATAAATTTTATTTAGGGTTAAGGTTTCAAAGTTTAAATGAAAAAAAATAATACAGATTAACCACAATAACAGAAAAATGCTTACAGTTTGACCAAGTTTCTAGGTTTTTCTTAAAAGCCCATAATTTTCATGGGATAGATTTTTTTTTCTTATTTTTCTCATCAATCCTGTCACCCCGTTTCGGCTTGACGTTGTGTTCTGGGACACCCTGTATAAACTCTTGCCTTTGTCGTTTTCTTCATGTTCATACTCACCTTCACTTACATTCTTGTATTAATCCTAATCTAAATCCTATTCTTAAACCGCATATTACCACGTTTTTTTGTTAAGGTATTACCAGGGAACGAATTTTATGGAAATTGCTTTTTTTCTGCTAATGAGATAGAGTATATTCAATTACTAATGTCCACGATTTACTTTTCTCTGATTCCATATATACACATTTGATGTTGCTAGTTTTTTCCTTTTATAAGATATTTGCCTTTTTTTGCCTTTTCTATCTTTAATTGTAAAGGGTAAGGAAATATTCCTTAATACTGATAATATGAAAGTTTTAAAAGTTCCACATTTAAATTGGGCGCCACTTGTATTAACTCACGTGGAGCGCACGTTTAAGGCTTTTCTTCGCGTAAATTGAATGAAACTGCTTTTAAAATGCACCTTGTAGTTCAATGTTACTACAACTATTGAGATTAGAGTTTTGTGAATTCAAAACTCGAAAAGAGAAAATAGTCAAAGATTCAAAGTTAAAATTTTTCATATATAGTTCATTGCTTTTCATTTTCTACTTGTAAACTAAACATTTCTAAAATAAATGTATTTTTTGATTATTTTTCGTTTTTTGCTTCACAACTGTTTTATGCCGCAAACTTTTTGACCTTCCCGCATAGAGAAGCCATCGACTCCTCTAATTACACAGGTCAACAAAAATGGGAAACAATTTTGTAACCTAAAATGTTAAAGCGTAAGTAAAAAGTTTCCTTCACGTCCAGATTTTGAGAAAAACGTGGTCAAAGTATCAAAAAATCGTGGTTTTTGCAATGTTTGAGAACCTCTAGCAAAAAAAAACAAAAGGTGATAGAACCTTACACTTCAGCTTAAATTAGCGCTAGAACTCTCAACTACTATCCCTGAAAATACCATTCGTGCACCGTGACTTTATGGTCTCTTATAGTCATTTTCTCAAAATCTGGACGTGATGGAAACTTTTTACCTACGCTTTCGTAATCAGCATGAAAAAGTCTATCAAAAATAGTTTTAACATTTTAGGTTACAAAATTGTTTCCCAATTTTTGTTGGCCTGTACTACATGGTAGAAAACTGATAAGCTTTTTAGTATTTTAGTATAAGCAAGATAATGTTCGATACTAAATCGAATGACAATGTTGCAACGCGTGTGGTAAGGCATACGACTTGTTGTGGCAAGCGGTAGTGCGGCAGATTTACGCATTGAGACCCTACTTAAAAGCGAAGAAGAGAGCGATAATTAAGAGAGTTCGCGTAAAGAGAGATCAGAAAAATATAAAACTGATAAATAAACCGCCCATTTCTCTTAGTTTAAAAGAACCACTACCAATTATTTTAAGATTTCAAAGAACTTACTGAATGTAAACAAAAGATCTAATTTTAATATAATTAAGCCAAAGGAATGATGCCTATTTCTTAAAAAAAATACGGACAAAAATAATAAACAATTCAGCAGGTAAATGAGAAACAATAAGTTGTATGTAGTCGGCTACTTCAGCTAGAATACGAATATGACATACAAATGAAAACTAAGCAAAATACCTCATAGATACTTCTATGCTCACAGAGAGCACCGCTCAGCAGCCTGTGTGCTACGTTATTTCGTTATTACACGTACACCGCTGGGTCGATATTACAGGGTGCAGTGAGTGTATTAGCCGCTTAACTTAAAAAGCTAGATCTCTTATGATTAGACTGCGGATTTTTATGCAAAATACGGAGCGTAGAAATATGTACTACTGAACTATAAACAAAATGTATGGAAATTTACATAACTTTAAACAAAGTGTATAAATTTCTATACATTTTGTTTATAGTTCAGTGGTACATATTTTTAGGCTGCGTTTTCTGCATAAAAATTCGCAGTCTAATCATAAGAGATCTCACTTTTTAAGTTAACTTTTTTAATAAAAACGAACGATTTACACTTTCATTTTATTCCAACTCAGCCGAGCCAGCTTCAAGCGTCGAGTATCGCGCTTAAACTTCTTTTGGTTGAACTGCTCAAATGCAGATACTTTATGTACACGGCACCCTGTTTATCGAGTATCTGGCGGATACGAATGTTGCTCTCAGGCATGACTGGTCTGCGATTGCTGAGCTCAGTCATTGAGTAAATCGCGATGAGGTTGCATCGTTAGGACGTTACGCGTTTTCCTCTTGAAACCATACGGTAGATTTTGTTGTATACACTTGTACAACACCAATAGCAGCAGCAGCAGCAGTTAGAAGTAGCAGCAACAACAAAAATCATCAAATCACCAGTTCCAACAACAACAAGAGGAATTATTTTTAACAAAAAGTAGAAAAAAAAACACGCAAATGCAAAATTAATTGCAAAGCAGCAAAAAGGTGAATGGTGATTGAAAATCAGATCAAAACGGAAGTTTAAGCATAAAAAGAAATCCAATAATTATATGTAGGTAAATAAAATAAAATGAAAATAAAAATAAATTTGTAACGAATCGAATACCAACAAATGTACGGCTACTTCGCGCGCCTCTCGGTAGGCACCCCCCGTCCGCCCAGCGCGCGTATCTGTTGTGTAAGTAAATTGTGTATGCATGTGTGTAGGTCCGTGCATGGGTGTGTGTGATTGAGTGTGGAAATGTACAAAGGTATCTAGCTGCAGGGCGATGGCGGCGGCGGCGGGTAAAATGTACAACGCGTACGACATAACCGAGGCGTTCGCTGTTTGCGAATATAGGGTGTAGGCGACCCGGCATGGTACGGCGCGACGCGGCGAGGCAGCGCAAATTCGTTGCAATACTCATGTAAACATTCATACGTCCATACATACATACATATGTACGTACATACGTTCGTTCGAAAAAATGCAGTGTCGGTGCATTGCAGTTCGGCGCTAGAGTGGCATAAGCGGAAACTGAGACGTCGCGGCGCGGTGCGGTGCGGTGCGGTGAAACGCGAGGCGCGCGGTGCGACGTATCGATATTGCTTGCCCCTTTGAAAGTGCAATGATAAAATAAAAAATTTAATAAATAAATAAAAATTAATTTTAACACAAATGTGTGCAGCAAAGTGGCAACCACAACAACAGTGTTGCAAATTTCAGCACGCCAATTACAAATAACAAAAATTATAATTAAATACAAAGTTGCAAATAGCCAATTGCGAGATTTCGCATATATTTTTTGCATTACATATATGTACATATGTATGTATGTATACAGCATATGTACCCTTCAGCATTTGCCTGTCCTAAGTTCTCTTTCTATCTCTATGCCATGAATGCTAATATTATCGCGAAAGCGACAAAATCGTTGCCTTATATGCATTAAATATAAAAATATTGCTTTAGCAACAAAAGTTATTACTTGTGTTTTTGCAAAAAGTGGGCAAATATGTCAGTTGAAACTCATCATAAAAATATTTTATGGTTAATCAATACAATTGTGAAAAATAAAATGATGTATTTATCTCCCAATTTAGTGATTACATAGATATGATATAAAATTTTCCAAATCAAAAAGCAAAAAAAGTTTATAAAGTAAATCATTAAAACAAGTAATTGAAAATATTATAGGCGGAGAAATTTTAGCTGATATTAAATGTACATATCAGCTATGTTTGTGAAGAAAATAACAATTTATGCATAAAACAGAAAAAATACTGCAAAATAATACCAGATTTTACATATAAACAACCAGAAACAACAAAACCGCTGTTTAATTCACACATGGAGGTTTTTCGATAATAATATTTGAAAAACAGTCCATATAGAAATTTTACATCTGCGCAAGCTGTGAGTAACAAATTTCATCTTATCTATAGATACATATGTATATACGTATGTATGTATGTAATATTACATAGCCAGAACATTGAAATAGCCTATCTATGTACAGACATAAAAATATGTAATATATTATTTTCTGCTAATTCAGTGGAGAATGTCAAACAAAAATTAAAACATTTTTAATCTTTTAAGGGCTCTTAATATCTGTATTAAGAATAAGTAATTTTTGAATGTTTGTACAGTCATTCACAGAAGTATTCGTAATTTTGCTTTCTAACAGTATTCAAAAAGTTTTCCATCATAAATCTTTTTCGTTAATTTTTATTTGAAATATGAGCTGTAAAAAAAACATATAAATATATCTTGCAAACTTTATACAAAATTCACAAAAATTAATCATACTTCAAAAAATGTTCATCAAGATTACAAACTTTTTAATCAGAAATTTTATACAATTTTCCGGCATGCACTTTCAATTTCAGATAAAGTGCCATTTTCGAGTAGCTAAAAGGTACTGCTGATTTTTTTTAAATTTTTTTTGTCGAGGCTGTATCGCATTCTCTTTCATATAAAAACAGATTTGGTTCATTCGAATCAATCAATACCAACAAAGTAGTTATTTAACGAGATTTTTCTTTAATTTGCTTAAAAAATTAAGCTATTTTTAAGCAACATGTTTAAAAATAACATTACATTAAAAGTCGTTAACTATTTTGCTTTTATTCGAAATGTTTTTCTGGATCCTTCATTTTCCTATACAGAAATATGTAGGTATTGTTTAGACAATAAATATATTTATGAAAGCAAGCTGAGTGAAAAATGAGTTCTGAAACTTGACCTTTATATTTAAGACCATTTAAGTCTAAATTGAATATGATTATTGTTTGGTGAAAAATTAAAAAAAATGCTTCATTGAATTTTCAATTCACACATACATACATATACATATACATATACATATTTCGCTTTAATAAATATGTTTACTATTTTTACAATAAAAAAGAAATATAATAAGTTCATATCGATGGCTGAGTGGAAGATCGACCTAACTCGGCAGCCAGTTCGAAAACGCTCCATCTCAAAAATTTGTTCTACAACGCCCAATTTCCGAATTTGGTTGAAGAACGCGAATATCTCAGCTGCCGATTCAAAAACGACCTATCTCAGCTTATTTTCAATGTATGTATTTTCGTTTGAGATAGAGCGTGTTTGAACCGAATTCTGAGATAGGAGGTTCTTCAAAAAAAATTCTGATTTAGGGTGTATTTCAATAAAATTGTGAAATAAGGCGTTTTGAAGTAGGGCGTTCTTGAAGTTTCTTGAAGTTCGGCGTTTTCGAATTGGCTGTCGAGATAGATCAATCTTCTACTCAGCCGTCGATATAGTCACCTGAAATGCAAAAAAGACGTAACTTCCAAAAAATCAAAATTCACTTTTTGATTGATATGATGGATTTCATAGAATTACAACTCCCCGTGTTTGTTTTTTACTTCCAGCACTCGGAAACATTTCAATCTGCTCCGTCATTGCTTTTAATAAAAAAGATCAGCTTTAAGCTAAGGCAATGGAGAAACCCAATTCACATTATAAATAGTACGAGCAAATTGAAAGCAAAATAATGAAACAAAAATTTATCAGATTGATGTTAAATAAATCGTGCCAATGGTGAAAATATAAAAAAAAGTTTCGAAAAAATTCCAGCGAGAGTGTTAAAGAAAATGTTGATCTGCATACAAATTCAATAACCGGTAAGATTATATATTTTGATAACAAAAATACATTCTTATACACAGACAATAACTATGTAAATACATTAGGGCGGTCAAAAAAAAAGTAAAGTCGGAATTTTAAAGCTCTCACCCCCTAGGATTATTCTATATATTTAGAGGTCGCTCAAAGCGCTAAAATTTCTCCTGTTTATTATGTGAAAAACCTCCTAAAAATAAATAATTTTTTATCGGGAAACCCTGGTTCTCTTTCTAGAGGATTCTAATAATAATACCCTATTGTTTATTTAACCACTTTTTGAAATTTCATTACTACTAGGGTATAAGGTCTCTTTTTCCAATTCATAATCGTAACTATAATTTTTTCTTATTAAAATTGCACCCAAAAGCGTAAAGCGACTGTTTAAAGAAGGAGGTATAACAACTGACCATTATACATACATTACAAAAAAGAATAAGGAATAACAAAATTATTGAATAAATCCAGAAGAAAACATCCAGAAGAATTAAAAATTGGTACTGAATAAATATGTAAGTAAGCGCAGCACTTAGTTCATTCTGAAAAGGATATACAATTTTTAGAAAAGTGGCCGTACAAAATATTTTTCAGACCTGTAAACCGGTTTTAAGCCGAACTCCCGCTTTTTTCGGCCTCTGAACCAAACCACGAACTGAACTGTTTTTAATTGTGAAATGCCAGCTCGGTTCAAAATGAAAATTCACTTAAGCATTTATGAAGTTTTGTAATACACGACCCATATGGTAAAATTGCAAACATTTTAATACCCTTCATGACCAAAATATCGTACTATAACTTTGGACCGATGTTTATCAGTTTGAACGCAGTCTAATCCCCCAGTTTTCGAGATATCCGACAGAAATTTGGCAAGCGGGTGTATTTGTTGTAACTGGAAAAAGTCGGACCACTACAACATATAGCTTCCATACAACTGAAGTATCAGATATGAGGAATTTTGTTATAACACCTCCATTTTTTCAGATATGAACCAACATGAAAATTAAAAAAAGTAAAGAAGTATAAGTTCAGGGGAAACCGAATTTTATATACCCGGCGCAGGTAGCAACTATTGTCGTTCCAACTTTCTTAAACTACCTAAACGTCTATTATTGTTAAGAGATTGTTGTAAGTATTAACTTGGAGTAAATTAGCGTCCTCAATTATTGAAATATCGGAGTATCCGTATATCCGAAAATTACCGTTATACGGGAAACCGATGCAATTTTAGTCCGATTTGAATAATTTCCAACGAATTGCTTTTACGCCAAGTTTGGTAAAAATTGATAAATCGGTTACCGAGATACTCATTTGTGGCCATAAGTGGGCGGCGCCACGTCCAAAATCCAAAAATTTATACTAATCTATTTTTTTGTTCAGTGGTCATGGCAGTAATTGATTTTGAGTCAATTAGTTTCGTAGTTACTGATTTATCGCAGTTTTCGTATTTCTATAAATTACCGTTATATGGGAGGTGGGAGTGGCTATTGCCCGATTTCAATGATTTTCAGCAAATTTTTTACCTGGATCCTAAGCAAGGCTCGTATCGAGTTTGGTAAGGATTAGTAAAGCTGCTACTAAGATACAGTATTTCATCATAAGTGGTCGGGGTCACGCCCCTTTTCCAAAAAATTTCATAATGTTATTTTGTACCCAAAATTCTTCTTCGCATAGATACTAATTTTCAATAATTTGGATCAAATATTTACTGAAATATCAGCTTTTGCGTATTTCGAAAATACCGTTATATGAGAAGGAAGCGTGGTTATAGTCCGATTTCGCACACATTTTTGCGATATAATCCTTTACGTAGGCAGCTAAAACCATGAAATTGTGTGACCTATTTACTTATCGATCATACAAGGCCTAGCATGAAATTTATTTAGATTGGTGCTTTATAAGTTATATGTGTCTTTCGTACCACTGATAGTTCGGTAGTTCAGATATGAGATTTTGTTATATAACTCCTCTATGTTCATATTTAGTAATATAAAATGCAGTGAATAATACGAATGTAGGTTGAAGTAAAATTTTCTGGTGTTCATAAAAGGTATGAAGCCTTTCGAATACCCAAAGATAGCGCAGTCCTCACCTGTTCTGTATAATTGCAACAAGCCAAAATTTTGAGTGTCAATTCAAAATTCTAAGTATATGGGCCGTTTTTTGTCCAATGGCATGTGTCGCCAAATAAGTGAAAACACGTTGTCAAATGGAACTAAAAAAAGGTTTACCCATTGATTTAAATCAGAATAAGTATTCAATCGTGTGCACGTGCTGCTAATCTGGCTAACTGTCCTTTTTTTGGCTCTTAATATAATCGGTAAAGGTATGAAAAAAGAAGATAAAGTTGTGTCAAAATATGTTGCCAAAATTCTTTGTCAAAATATTACATAGTGAAAACCAGCCTTTACGACTCGTCCAAACCTTAAAAATTTATTTTCTACAACTATGGATGACCATAAATTATCAAAAGTTCCTTGAAATAACTTTTTACAAACAAAGCAAATATTTATTATATTTAAGTACATACAAAATCGAATTTTATCTCAATAAAAAATCTTTTGTTTTTATACATATGTACAGTATTTGTCATTTTTTTATTATTTGTATAAAAAAAAGTTAACCATTTGAATCGAACGGAATTATATGTATGAGGACCATCTGTCCAAGAGTGGCGATCCCCGAGGGTGGCATCATTTCAAGAGTACTCTTTCTCGCTAACTCATCAGCTCTGCGGTTTACCACGATGTCCCAGAGGCTTGGAATTCATATACGTCTAATTAGAAAAATTATTGCATCATCAGTGAACTCCGGGCGCTGAATGTCGCTTGGCTATCAGAGTAAATGCTTGCGTCCCTTGAGGAGAGTGACAACTGCCTCCCCTTCTTCAAAAATGCTACAGTCGGCAGGAAGTCAAAACTAGATGTTGGGGGAGACCACCCAACTTTGCCCCCAAGTTTGAAAACATTAGTGAAAAGTTTGCTGCTATGCTTCTACAGTATGGCAGCCAGACGTCCTGGTTTTAGTCAAATTGTCCTTGTCTACATTTAAATTGTCCTGGGTTTTTATTGAGGGTCAATGCAGACACCCATTTTTGGCAGATTTTAGCTATGAAAAAGGTTAAGTTTCTGTTATTAATAACAGAAAATCGAAAACGAAACGTTTTTGTAATATGTTGAGCAATATCTGGAAAGTATACCTTTTTTATGTTTAATTTATTTGGTTAGAATCTTACATTTTTATCTTCAGGAAAATGTCAAAAAACGTCTCAAGTTGCTGAGTAGATAATGTAAGGAGTTAAAATCTCTTCCAAAAGGCCTTTCTGAAAGTTATATCCTTTTCCTTTATTTTTTATTTTTTGGATTGATACAAAGTGAAGGGCTTCTGCTTTCGCTATCCAAAGAAGAGTTTCCAGAAGAGCTTTTGTAGGACGTACTTTAGAAGGCCTTTTGAAGAAGTTCTTTTAATTCATAAAAATCATACTTCTTTACGAAATGTATTTAAGGTACATTTCAAATATTAAAATGCTCATCTCCTTGAGAAAAAGCTACTTGAAGCCATTTCAGAGACGCAGTGATACCCGTAAACAGGGGCATCGAAAATTTAAAGAATTTAGAGTGTCCACACGCTGAGCTTGTTGGGCATCAGCAGTTTTGGCTGCAATATCAACCTGTCTAGCTTGCAAAGCTCTCTGCACGCTCGGAACATTATTTTACCGGCAACTTGTATGTATTACCTTTAGCTTTGGACTTTTGTAGAAATGTATTGGATTTTAACATGACAATATCATTGTTACCATTATATTAATTTGTATTTTTTTGTATTTTATAAAAATCAAATAACATTTATAAGTTCCACGCGCTAGTGTAGCGGGCGTGGTAGAACGCAAAACCTTACCCTTTTTCATATTTTTTCATACTTTGGTAAGGTGAGTTTAGGACGGCTCCAACCAACAGACATGTAGATTAAATATACTTTGTAATGCCATTCAGAGAGGTAAAGGATACGAAGCAAAAGGGTGACGCCTAAGAAAATGCTCCGTTCCAACAATAAAACTCCCCAAGTGGCTAATCGCTAAAGCCTCTTTGTCAAAAGTGTAGCATAGACCTATGTTTAATACTTTTTCCCTCATATTTTTCCCTGTGTGCCACTCGTTTCATGTCTATTTATGGAAGACTCTGTTCTCAAAGTAATCCGCCACCAGTCGAGGGTGCAATAATAAGTAGGTATAACCATAAAAAAATTATAGTTTAAAAACCAAAACCTCCCTATTATAATTGCCATTCGTACTATCATCAGGTATTTAACTTGGGGATAGAAATCGCTGCATCTTTTAGGCGCATCAATATTACATAGTTACATCCCGAGTTAATAAAAGGAAGGTAAGAACATAAAAAGAGCTACTATGAATAATAAACCATTCTTGGGCTCGATATTATTAAGCTTTTTATATAATTTTCTTTAATTTCACTTGCGACGAATTCAGTTTAAAGGCTCCTTAAGCAATTTTGTACTATCCTTAAAAAAAACCATATACATACATATTTATGTATGTGTACATGTGCAAACTACATGTATAAACACATGAATCATAATTATTTTTAATTGTATGCTTCTTTCTTATTTTCTGGAGCCCTTGCTAATGTGCTGAGTTCTGGAACAATTTGTATTTGGTTAACAATTCATACTCGGGTATGGCTCCATACAAAGTTAGTTAGTTGAAAGGCCCTATTAATTCGATTCGGCCGCATGCCTTTAAAGATCGTCGGCGGGGCGAACGACGAGCCAGCGACAGCGTAATAAATGCTGTAGTCAAACGCTAGTATGTACCGATGTAAGCACAATGGCCGGGCGAAGCGCACAAATGAACAAGTTAACCAACGTTAAACCAAAAATGTTTCATACATACATACTAATGCACATATGTACGTGTTTGTATGTGCATATATGCGATACAATATAAACGCACACAAGCACTCAAGTAAACATTGTTGTATATATGTAG